GAGCAGCGTGGGGGGGGCCCTGCTTTTACTGGGGCAGCGTTGCTTCCCAAAAACCGGACACGGCAGCTGAGCGGAGCGGCGCTCGTCTGCAAAACGGACGCTTTAACCCATGGACAAATCTGAGCAGAGTGTGGGGAAGCAACGCGATGCGACAGCGAGTAAATCTCAATAGTGTTGGTGCAGGTTTTGGAGTTAAGTGAGTGGATGAATTAAAGTTTGTGTACACACGTCGCCACCCTACGTCTGTGCTTGGTGCTGAAATGCAGAAGTGACGTGGACACACGAGTGTAGATGCCGGATGCCCATGTGCATTAAGCAGATGGCATTGGTAACACCATGCCGTGTCACTTGGAAGCCTGGCCTGGAGTGGGGACAAATCTGCAATGGCATTGGTGGTGCCCAGTTCAAGACCGACGTCATCTTGCCCATCTACTGCTGCCCCTGCTCCTTCATAATGGCCCATTTTGCCTCTGACACTGGTTTGTGGGGAAAGTGGAATGGTGTGGGCCGCTTGTGTGTCCCCAAGGATTCAGCTGAAAATTCTGCTCCCTCCTCACGATCGCTTGGGAGAGTGAACACTGAAAAAAATTTAGAAATGCGCACGTGGAAGGAACAAAACGCTTCACGCTGTGAGCATCAGTCCCTGCCATGCGCTATGATTACCGCTGCAGCAAAACTTGTGTCTGCATGCGGCGCCACGGGGCCAAAGCCTCGGGACACTGGAGCGAACCCCATCGCCAGCGCTTCAAACAGCTCCATGGCATCCAGACTTTGCCTAAATGCTGCTTTTCCATTTTGGCCACGAGCACGGTCGCCTTCTGCTTTAAAGTCGCATCCTCCTTGGATGTGTGAGTTGAGCTGAGGATGAATCCAAGAATGGATAGGGTTCAGTTCAGCAACGTAGAGTCTGGATCCTCGGCTAGTAGGCCTGTGCACATGTCTATTTTTTAAAACAAATGAGCGTCCCCGTTTAACCATACAGATCCTATCTCTGCTAGTTTCTGTTAAAACCTCGGCTGTGCCACTGACGCCAGTGTTAAAGCGTTCACCTTACGTTGATTCGCTGTTGATGTTTTGGTTGCGGCTGCCTCGATGCTACCTTGTGTTGCCAATTTTCCATCGCTCGTGCTGAGATTGTGTCGCCTCGGTTCGCTGTGCCAGGCATAGAAGTAATGAAAGCAATAACTCGCTGGGGCCCTGAGTGGCCACTGCTGCTGAATTTACTGTTTCGCAGTTCTCCTGTTGGCACCACAGTTGTGACTATAGATTGCTCTACTTTCTCAGCGTAATTAAGTAAAACAATTTGCTGGGTATTTATTTTCGAGTTTAGACAATGTTGATTGAATTCACAAAGTTGTAGTTGGCTGTGATGCCCCACGTATTAAATTCATGCTGGAGAGGGTCCCGAAGGCCTTGCTAGTTGCTCACGGTGATAACCAGTCGCCTGTTTAACCCCGATCTGTAGATCCAGGTCACACTTTGAGGATAATTATGAGGTCCTGTTAATTGGGCTAAAGCTTAGGTCACTCGTGGGCGCTAAAGAGGTATCTGTGAAATTAGAGAAGGTGCGACATGATTATTCTTTGGGTCTTTCGGTAAAGTCACGTAGATAGGTTCAAACAAAATAAAAAACTACGACGTTTCGATCGCAACACCACCTGATGACGACCGCTTGTGTTGTGATCGAAACCTAGTTTTTTGTTATTTTCTTCGAACCTATCTGTGACTTTACCGAAAGACCCAAATTATATGAATTCCTGCAGTCACGAAAGCTTTAAGTCAAGATTTAGGTGCGACATGCTTTTACTAATTTCATCCGTATCTGTGTGCTGGCAAGTCTTAAGGCCGAAATCTGGTAGTCTCAGACCCAGGGTCCCTGCCTAGATCCGTGTGTTCTCGTCAACAGGATGATGATCCATGGCACCATGTTTCTCATGACTGGTTAATCTGGGCTGTGGAACTGTAGACTTTTAAGTTCAACCTAAGGATATCGCAGAGCACCCATATTTTTGCATTCATCTCTATTCTGTTGAGGTTTTTCTTTTGGTTTCTCTTGCGCCATCCATGGCCCCTGTAAGTAGCAGCCCAGCAAGTAGGTTTCTGACACATGTGGAGTTTGAGTATTCTCTCCTCGAGAATATTCTGTGTGGGTTTCTCCGAGCCCTTTCAGGCATGAAAGAATATGAATTAAGAATTTAGTAAATGAAGCATGCAAATTTGGCAAAATGCTGCTTGTGAGTAAATACATTTACAAAGTGTAATTTGTGTAGTTGCTCAAAAGCAGCGTTCACTGCTAATAGATAAACAGTACTGATAGTGACAGTAATGCCATCTAAATGCTGTGAGGGCTGGTCAAAGACAGGTGTCATTAGTAAGAGTCATATTTTGTCCATTTGTTGTGGAGGTTCAGTTTTACATTGAAAATTTCCTGTCAGGAAACACTGACAATACTGCAGATTCTCCTGAAATAAACTCTGTAAAGGTCCTCACTTAGTCATCGTTAATATTTTCTCAAACTATAATTTGATATGTTCACCCAGAAAACCTTGCCGACTCTCAACGCTTTAGTAGAATCCCACTTACTCTGACCAATTCCCTTCGAAATGTGTGGGAGAAAACGAGTGCCTGGAGTTTTGACTGTGCTCCACATATAAGACATCTACTTGCTCTACTGCCACCTTTAGGCTTGACGAAGTTGCCCATAAGATGGTTTCCCAGCACGACACATCCCTGCATGATACTGCCACTGGCTCAGGGTTCGTCGCTGCATGGAGAATGCTTGAGCACAGAGCCAGCCTGAATTGTCCCACTGTCCTTACCAATGTCCACACTGACAGTGTCCGGAGTGATAACTGAGATATGGCAGTAGTGGGATCTTTCTCAATAGGACATTGTTTTTGATTAACAGATATTCATTGTAGCAACCACCCTGATTACAGATCTATGAGTGATGTCAAGAGCACAGACCTTTGTATTGACTCAACGGTCACTGTTGCAATACAACAAATGTACTTCACTCCTAAATGGACCTCATTGAATGGTGGCCACGCTTGTCACCCTGTGAGAGTGGAGATGGGTTAAGATACAGCACAGGCAGTTTTACAAATTCAACCCCTTCAGCACGTGACGCCGCATCCAAGGGTCCCCCACAGTCGAGCCACTCGAGATGATGCTCAGTTTGCAATGTGGTGACCGCACATGTTCATGGATATTAAACTTTCTTTTTTAGTCCATCTCAGTAAGTACAGTTGTTTTAAGAACCCCGTTATGTATGACTTGTGTTATCTGTGTTGAAATGAGACTGCACAGTGTGAGATGTGCGCTCTTTTGATGTAATGTTTGGTCATGGCGAATTGCCGATTGCGTGCGTGCTCAGTCCCACTCTGGCCTTGCAGCGTAATCCCTACTCATGGCGTTCAAAGCGAGCGCTGTCATTGGCACGATGTACACATGCACGCAAAACAGTTCATGGAAAGCGCTTATGTGTGGTTCAGTTCAACAGATTTGAACTGATGTATGTCATTACGCTGGCTATATTTCATTATTAAACTTTACATTGAATTTAAAAAATAAAAGCAGTTTATAAAATGAAAACGAAACATTGCACGGCTCCATGTTGGTTTGATTTGTATTGTAAATTAAAGTACTTTTGAATTGTAAGGAAATAAAGTGCTGTATATTCAGATCAGCATATCTCGCATCTCAGTCCTGTTTGGAATTACCTATTGTACTGTTCAGCTGGAGCAATGGTTTGAGTTTACTTGATTTGTTGCAACAGATGATCCTGTTATGCCAGTTTCCCGCCTCTTTTCAACGGTTTTACTTAACTTGATTCCTCTGTCGTGGTAAAATCTTGTAATCAAAATTTCGTCCACTTTCCGTTGTCCAATCAATTCCACATTTTGCACACGTACTCAGATCCGGTGACAATGCATGCCTATATCAAAATCAGCATCAATTAATTCGCTACTTTAAAGCAATTTACATTTTGTATGGACGCATGATTTATATATGTGTAGGTCAAAAACACCGCGGTCCCTAAACTTTGGAATTCGCTCGCACAAAACCTTTAAACAACTTTTTAAAAGGAGTTTATTACAAAGGAGATCCGTGGTGCGCGAGCAACAAAAACAAACACAATTTTGCCGAGAACGAGTATAGGAATATTAGACGAGGTATATTTAACAGTTAAAGACAAAACACGCGAATAGAAAAAGAGTATAAAGCACGAATGAAGGCTGGCATGGTAATCAGGGATGTGGGGATGGTCAACACCACGCCCGGTAATCTTGTGTGCCCTGCCAGTCAGCCGAAGTGTACAACTAAGAGCACCCTTCACATCGGTGTATTGTATGATAGTTGCAGTTCTTTAGCGTCAATATACTAAATGCCTCTGTTGATATGTAAACTCTGACTTTAACATAGCTACTTCTGTGACCAGTTACACGCTAATTCCTCACACTAACATCCTGCTAATCTCTTCACATTAACACAGCTACTTCAATGCTAAATTCTTCTGTTGATATGTAAACGCCTTTGTCAAGGCGCTCTGCTCCTCCCACCCAGCTTAAAATACGCTGCCAAGCTTAGCAGTGTTCATTGGAGCGCTGTCTTTCCGACAGTTCTATTTCTTCACCTGAGGAATGCTACTTGTGTTGTGGCCAAAACGTGAGAATTTATTGTATTATGTTTTATTATTTCCAAGAATATGAATCCCTGCAGTCAACGAAAGCTTTAAATCGAAATAAAACGAAGAGCACCTTGTCCCATCAGCCATCTCAGGCTATACGGGGGCGTCTTCGTGTGCGAAGCATAAACTCTCTCACGTGACCCCGAGTCGATCACGCGCAGGGTCACGAGACCTCCCTCCCTGCCGTATCACGTGACCCCCATAAACGACCAACGAGTAACCCCGCCTTGGCGCGCTCAACCAATGAAATTCATTATCCGGCGTCACGTGGTATGGCTTTACCGCCCGTTTAAAGCGTCGCACGTGGCTGTGTGCGCCAACCAGCCCCGCCCATCACGGTCACGTGCTTTCTTGAGCGTGAGGCGGAAGTGGAGGAGTCGCGAGCAGAAACAGCCAGCAGCTGAGACAGAGACATGGCGACCACGGCGACTGCAGCGATCACGGGGCTCGGCCTCTTCTTCCTCCTCGTGCTCTCAGGTGAGAAGAGACCCTCGTGTGCGGGCTCGGCGACTCTCCGCGCTCGCAACTTCCCCCTGTACGCGCGCTTTTCGTCCACTACGCACTGCCCACTCTCTACGCTCCTCCACACTGCACTGCTTTCCCCATCGTCAGCACTGCTCACGACGCGCACTCTTTTGTCGGCGTTGTCTATTGTTGTTGGTAATGCGCCTGACCACGCGTCTGCTGCGCGTCTTGTTTTACTCCGTCAATTTTTGTTTGCTGAATCTAACGAGTGTCTCAGAATATTCATCAAATTATTGTTCAGAAAGTCGGGCTTTGCTGAGCCTTCCGTTTCACGAAATAAATCGTGAGTCGGGGAGGCGGAAATAATAAAGTAAACCCTGTCGAATGTGGATTGCCAAGTTCTGCAGCGGAGCCTCGCTGGGTCTCGTGTTGAATTGGTGGTTGAGCTCTCTTTCCCAGAACGCCCCTTGGTTGTCGCGTGTGCAACCATTCCCTTGAAGCGAGTAAACCTTGGCTGGTGCGTGCTTCTCTCAGCGGCCATTAACAGTGAATTGCGTAACTTCAATTAGGCGACTAATTCAATCGCATACTGCATAACTTACTGACCATGTAAAGGAGTTGGTAGTTGCTACTAATGTTTCCACCCCAGGTGGAACCGGTCTCTTCTGGTCTACGGACTCCCGTGCATATCCCAGCGCGGCCACTGCGAGTCGTTTTCCGTAGGAACTGGCTTGTATTTTTCACCGGTTGAGACGGTATGTGACTTGTAATAGCAATACGATTGAGAGAGGTCAGAATTAGAATATTTATTTAGACTGGAGGAATCTGATGAGCTATGAAGCTTTTGCTCCACCGATGTCCAAGTAATGGGGAAAGTAATGGGAGTTTAGAGGGTTTGGGGACTGATGCGATGTCCTCAAGCATCGGATACGGGTTCACTGCCGTGAGTCGAAACTCACACTGATGCAGTCGTTGCAGTTTCAATGAAAACGTATAGTATTTTGGAACAATACTGTGATAACTTACTCTAAAATAAATGTGTTCGTACTTGCAAGGCAATTGTTAACATCACAACATTCTCTTCTGAAGCAAGTTGATCAGCACTTAATGTGTTGGGTGACTTAGTGGCGCAGCGGGCTGGTTGGTATTATCGCACTCGACCAGTGTGGCAGTGAGTTCAAACTCTGGGTAGGGCACACCTGGGTCGAGCTTGCTGTGTTTACACCGTGTCACACGGATTACTGATGGCACGAACTTGTAAAGAATGTTTCTAACTTGAGCTGCCTAATCCCGGCTCTGAGGGCTTAATTGATTGTACCTCTGTGAGGCTTCCACAGTAGACGGATTGCTACTGCATCACATTTCTTGCTTTTGAAGGATATTCTGCTGAGATGCACAGTACGTTAAATCAACATTAAAGGACAAATAAACACACCATTTGGTTCTTTCAGTAAAGTCACGTAGGTATAAAATAAACCACCTGATGACGGACGCTTGTTGCGCCCGAAACGTCGTGATTTATTATATAACTACTACGTGACTTTACTGAAAGAACCAAAGAGTGTGGATTCTTGCAGTCACGAAAGCTTCAAATCAAGACAAATAAACAGTGGCTTTTTCACTGCACCCCGGCTTACATTTGCACACATTTGCGCTTACGAGTGTTTAGACCATATGCACACATTCGACACAAAATATTACTTGGCTTAAATATACGCAAAGTTATTTCCCGATTAAATTAGCATTGGTGCAGTGCTTATCAGTTTTTAGTCCTGAGACGGTGGTGGAAAACCATCATTCATATGGCAGGGAATGTCGCTCCATCGGACAACCACTGTTGACTTGTCCAACAAATCGAACTAATTTAATTGATCCCAGAAGGATGATGGGCTGAATTAACCCCCAACCATGATTTGAATTCGCAACTACTTTGTTTATTAATGGAAAAGTTCGGTGTCGTGTGGATGGAATGTGCAAAGGCTGAACGTGTCGGCACCCTGGCTGAAGCTGTACAATGTGTACACAGACGCCACTATCGACCCCCTTGTACAGGGGAGTCAACTCTTGCACAATACTGTGGTGGGCTCCGTGACCTTTCACCGGAATATGGCGAGTGTTGATTATATTATCCAGCCGCCTTATGCGTTTCACGTGATGGCACACGCACAACTCCCTCTGGTGTTGGGTGACTCGAGAGATCGTATTAGTTTCCCTGTGAGCTCCTTTCCAGTGCTGAATTACTGGGGCCCCACCTCTCTGGAAACATAGAACATTTTTGTTTGTCTTTGTTGGTACCCTTTCCGTGTCACATATATACATGTGTTTCTCTAATCTCTTTGTCTTCATCAGTCGGTCTATCTATTCCTGTCTCTGTTGTATTGTGATGACACGCAAATTCGTGAAGCGTTCTGTCGTATTGTATTTGTCCATCTCTGACCTCCACAGTTTAATAACTGCACAACAGTAGTCATATTTGTCTCAAAATTGTTAAAATCGTTGGATCCATACCGTAATTGTAATCAGGTTTTTGTTTTAGGCAGGCCACCACAGGTTGTGATCTTTAAACGTTGTTGCTGGGGGATGCATGCTTAAGTCATGTGGTGCATAAATCATAAAACCACCACTCACGCGACACTGTGAACATGACTGCCTAGAAGGGTCACACTACCATATTGTTACCTACGACCTTAATGTTTAACTTTTTAGCGTCAAACCATCACTTGGAACTTGTGACCAACATATGGGCACTGTACTGCAAGAGTCCCTGAATTCTAAACAAAGAAAACGTTGGCAAGACGTAACTGCAGACTTGTACGTAACTCACACAAGCTGTAAAACCTGGCAGTTCTTCCGGAACCCTAGGTGCCTCAACCAACAGAGCACAGACAACCAAAAACCACGGAAATTATGTGGATTCCCACACGCCACTGTCCTATTCAAAGGCACCAATCGACAAATGAGTTGTCCAGAAACAACTCCCCAACTACCGCAAGCAACAGACCTAACGATACCATACAGCTGCTAAAGTGGAAGCGGCCTTCAGGGCCACAACGTTCCAACAAGGCACTGGGATATGATGGCGTTTGGCCTAAGTTCCTAAAGAACCTGGGACTATATGGGTAAAAATGGCTTTCAAACATCTTCACCATCGTACACAAGACGGGCAAATTTTCAAAATAATAGAAACAAGCCAAAGTCATCCCTTTTGAAACCCGGAAAAACCTCGATACACCCTCCAACTATAACCGGCCCTTGTCCCTCTTGTCCCCACCTCCAAGCTGATGGAACGTGCCATGTTTTTGCCAGACTTTGCTCCATTATCGACACCAAACTTCTTCCATGTTTTCGTTGCACAGAATACATAAGTATTCTCACTTGTTTTCTGTGGTTACCACCAATTTTCGTCAATTCCATAGCAGTATCCGACAATGCGGTCATATTTAGAAGTGTCATACATTCATATCGTGTTGTAGGTCTTTTGTAAAGTGTTAATTGGATAGCATCCAATTTTTGAGGGCAAATGTGCTACGCGGTTACTTAGGCCGCCATGCGTAATTAGTTCTAATTGTAAAATATTACTAGTACAGTAGAACCTCGCAGATCGAACGCACCAGAACTCGAACAAATCGTTGTTCGAACGATATTTCCGGAAAAAATTTTCCCCGGAAACCGAACGAAATTCGGAGGTCGAACGGGCAATCGCGACTTGAAAGAACCTGTACAGCTGCGTATGGGCAGCAGCGTGCATGACGCTTGCCCAAAGGTTTTACCACCTCCTCCTCGCCACCTTCCACTCAAGCCATCAACTCTCCTTACTACAGGTAAAGTGAAGCTCAATGTTCATTTATTCCATATATTTATTCCATTTATTGTGTTTCTTATTTTTGTATGATTTCATACCCGTAATTACTGTAAACTTCGTGTGAAATGCTTTATAATAATATTTCTTGTGTCTGGAGCCAATTAATGTCATTTACATTAATTCTTATGGGGAAAATGAATTCGGTGTTCGAACAAATCGGTGTTCGAATGGCCTTCTGGAACGAATTAAGTTCGATCTCCGGGGTACCACTGTACAGGCAGTCCTCGACTTACGAAGGCCCGACTTACGAACACCTGTACTTGCGAACCATATAAAAAATAACATTAACTTAACACGAACTCACAAGTGCAAACCGAACCGCGTAACTATTTTGTTCAGAGCAGCGATCCTCGTGGGATGTAATGAGTCGGCCTCACGCTCAGCGATCCGAGTTTGATTCTTTATCACGGCCAAAAACCAGTACCTGGTGTGTAAACATCACCACTGGGAAGACAAAGGTGGCCGGGCGTGGTGTTGGCCACCCCACACCCCCTCTTGTGCCATACCGGCCTTCATAAGTGCTCCTTGCTAACAGCACTTGCTCCTACAGTCTGTTAAGGCATTTTTATTTTATTTGTGGACGTGTGTGTAATGGGTTCATTTGAGGCACACACCAGAACTTGGAGGCAAACACGGTTTATTAATTAATACAACTCTTAACATCAAAAGGATAACTGCATCGGGTGGTGACCACTGCTTCTAATTTAGCTAACACGAGGGATACTATATTACCGGACCAGGACGGCTCAACACTGCCTGGTCCACGATCGAGCACTGTGGACGGCGTCTTTATTCCCAGAGTTGAACAGCCCAAATCCCTCTCGGGACATGGTTTATAACTGCTGCGGCGTGGCTGGCTCCGCCCTTCGCCACGCCCCCTTCCAGATCCTTCGGGAAGGCCCGGGTCCCTCATCACGTGACCCTCGCACCCCCATCTGGGGGTCCCCTGGCCCCCCTCGTCTGGTCACGTGCCCTTTCGGGTTCACCCAGGGTATCACGCCCTGACCCGACCTCAGTGACAACCGGACCATGCCCTCTAGCGGGTCATGCCGTGCCATGATCACGCTGGTGCCATAGAGAGGCACCCCCACACACAGTACCCGTCATCCCTTGGTACTGTCGCAACACAGGAGTGACATCATTTGTCACTACATGTGTATGGGGGGGACTGGTAGTGCAACGGTTGGCGCGCTGTGCTTCCAACCTGGCGACAAAAGTTCCCGCTCACGATCAACATCAGTGACGATTATCTGTATGGGACTTGGGCCTCCCCAAATGAGTAGCTGGTGCGTTGTGTAAGCATCGCCACTGCGGTACAAAGGCAGTCAGGCGTGGGGCTGGCCCCTCGTGTGCCGTGCCGGCCTGCCCCAACAGCCTGTTTAGGCTACATGAGGGATCGTTGGAGTGTGTGAGCGCTCGTGCCCTGTGTGTGTGCAATTGTGGTAACTCATTGCCCCTTCCGACTACAAGCTAGTGAAAATAAAACAGTTTTTTTAATATTTATGTTACTTTCTTTATTTACTACATGGTATTTTTTACAATGTTGCATGCAAATGTACAATATTTCTTAATTATGAGTTTATCAATGCTTCCCTTTTTGTTGAATCGTAACACATTCCATAACACGGACTGTTACGGGCATTTTAAATACATGCAGTCCCGGGGTTACAGCAGAATTAAGTTCCCGAGAACGATTCGTAACCCGAATTTTCCATATCTTGGAAACTGAACAATTTTCCCCCAAATTAAACGATAAAATCCCATAGCCGGAAATAGCTGTGCCTCCCCTACCCGATTACTAGTTCGTTTTCTCTCATTAGTGTATCGCACTCATTTCTATATCGCTCCCTGTATTCTATCGCTGTACATATGCTCTGCACTTACTATTTTATTTCATTCAATCGAATATTTACCCTAACACTGCCCATAATTAAGATAATACAATATATACTGTATCCAATTGTTTATGAATACCACGAAACATTTTGATATTGTTAACAGAAAGCAGTCCCTTAAGAATGTTAATTTACCGTGCATTTAGCTAGGCCTAGACTTCTCCAATTGCTGTTGGCTGAGACCATGTGCAATCCAAGTGTAATTGTGTTAATTTAAATACGTAAGTAAATACCTCATGGAAATAAACTTAAAATAAAGAAAACTACGTAACGATGTGGCGGGTATACGCGTGCAGAGCGGCTATACACCCGCCTTGGGGAAGATGCTGCCCGCTTTACGCCCCACGCTATTCATCCGTAACCTCACCGTGCTGCACTACTTGTGCTTATGTAACTAACGCAAACATGTCCGCTTCAATTTTTTTGTAAAGTTTGTTTATGGGAGCATTTCCGTAAGGTCGGATTTCCGTAAGTCGGGTCTTTTGCAACCCGTGGACTTACTGTACAGTACAGTATTGTGATCCTACTTACGAACCGTTCGACTTAGGGAGTGGGTCTCGCAGACTATGTTCGTAACCGGAGGACTGCCCGTAACCTGACTTTCAGATTAATTAATCGATTATTTAAATCGTTAATGGTTGACTCGTGATTGCTTGAAAACCCTGGTTTTTGCATAAAACAAAGTTTGTCGTATGCTTTGAATTAAAGCGTTACAGCTTCTCATTTCATCCGACATTGGATTGTCTCTCCACGTATTCAGTGTCTTCTGGTATCTCCCCGTGCCCTATCGAGTAAACTAGTTTTTGGTACTGATATATTTGATTTTACCCATTTATATTTTTAAGATGACCGTGAATGGTCGCGCTTTATAATGGTTGTAGTGGTGACCAGATTATATGCATATTTATTATTATAGTTCGATGTCTGTTTGTGAGCTTATTAATCTATTCGTTTATGCATTCCACTGCTACTCATTAAATCTATCTGAAGACTTTGTTATCATGCACAATGATGAGTCCAATCCATCATGAATGCACACTAAATACACATGGTAAGCTCTTTCGAGCAACACTTTTTCAAGTCTGCAAGACTGGCTTGTACTCAAGATTGTATTTCAAACATCTGCCGGTCACCGATTCCAGGTCTTCGGGCCAAAGACCCAGGCGAAATTGTGCTGGCCGTATCGCTGCAGGAGGATTGTGTGTGGGTGCAGCAGCAGATCGCCGTGTGCTTTGGATTGTAGACTGCATTTATCGGGATCCATTGTGGCTGGTACACTGCTCAGAAAGATAAGATGGAGTGTGCAAACTCTTGTAGACGTGCAGATATAGTTTGTAAAAAAATCCCATGTTTGATAGGTAGCCCATGTAACTCGTCTTATGAAGGCCACGATCGGATGAAATTTCTGCTTCCAAACTGATCACGTGATCCGCAGCATTTAACGCTTGATCCTTATGGCGGGACCCCGGGGTCCCATAAGCCCCCGGCTCTCGCATAAGCTGCGTTGCGACGTAATTTATGTCCGAAGACAAACGATAAGACAGTCTATTCCTCTCGACGAGCTCTCTACACGATGCACTAATCAAAGTTTCAAAGTTTTATTTATGACTACGGCAATTTTGGCAACGACGGGTGCTGGTTAAAGAATGAGGAGAGGATTGATTTCTGGTGGGTCGCAGCGTTTATGTGCGAGGTGGGACGGAGTCGCCAAAAAGAAAGAAATTAATTGCGATTTTGACTTCCGTTTATTCAGGCCCCCGGGGTCCCGCCATAAGGTTCAGTGACTGAAGGAGACGCAGATGCACAGTGCTGGCTTAGCCAAATATTATATAGTATTATAGTCCTAGCAACTGATGACGAATGCATGGACAAGCATACTAGCTGTCTTGGTTAGTGCATGACGGACAGTGCACAGTTGTCAAAGCTGTTATAAGCACCGTCCGGTCAAATGACTGACGTGAGCAGCGAACGTTGGCTCGCTATTGGCCAAGCTACCATGACACATTACTTCATTCAATGCTGGGATGACGGCTATTCAGGTGAATAGACCTACAATTGACCAGAGCTCTCAAGGTCCACATGTTGATTAGACCAGTCTTAGTCTGCCCATGTCTCCTCAGTATTGTTAGTTTTATCCTAATGTTTAGTTGCGGGGTGCTCATTGGCACACCTGTGTGTAAACTGGCATTAATAATCTTGGGAATTAATAATGTAAACTTTGTACCCTTTAATTCAGTTATGTTTTAAGGGTAAGGGGCCGTCCATAAATGACGTCACACGATTTTCGCCGATTTTTGACCCCCCTCAAATATGACGTAACAAAGCTCTGCCCCCCCCCAAAAAAAATAATACGTGCTACAAATCGCTTTAAACTATTGTCATTTTAGCGTGTATTTAATGTGGCACTGCACTCTGATGTAGGAGAAAACATTTATTAAAAAGTCTATTTAATTAAGTAGAACGTGTTTGTCTATTTAAAGTTCCGCATTTTGATGTGACGTCACATTTCTCAAACCCCCCCCCCTCGTCACAAATGTCTGACCCCCCCCCCCCGGTGCGTGACGTCATTTATGGTCGGCCCCTAATGAAAACTATTATTGTTAATGTATTTAACTTTCTGTGTGCAAATTGCATGGTATTTTCTGTTAATTTATTGTTTGTAAGAACATGTGGGTGAATTATGTTTTTGTAGGACCCACGTTAATTTGACCGACCCAGCATTTGATGTCACCAGGGTGAAGTTGTGTGCCACAGTTTTGTCACTAAACACTGATGCTCTGCATTCTCATTTGCAGTGACAGGTGACTCTGTGTCACCCACTCTGATCTCCACAATACCGCTGCTGCAAAATAACGCCACAACTGCTCACAACACCACTACTAATGCAACCACTGCCAGCAAGCCTCCAGCCACCCACAGCTACACGACCAAACAGAACCACACTACCACACAAAGCAGCACCACGGCTAGCACCACAGCCCTCCCGGAGCCAGGTGTGGGTTCGTACAACGTGAGCCAGAAGACTCTCGTTTGCCTTCGTGCAGACCTGGCGCTCAGGCTGTACGTGAATTACAAAGACAATGCCGGCAATATCAAGGTGAGAACCTGGGTGCAGCCTGCTACTCTTGTAAACTAACAGTAAGTTACCTTGGTTAACACTTCATTTCCACTGCATTAATAGTTAATACTTTCACAGCCATTCCTGGCTATTCTTGGATCTCGGAAGTCCCTTGTGGCTTGTTATTGGGCCTAATTAATGTACGGGAGACCCTTGTATTATATCGCAGGTTTATCACTCGTGGATTCGACCGATCGTGGGCAACTCTTTTTCCACCAATTTAGCTATAGCAGGGGTTAGTTTTGGCTTTTCGCGGGTATACTGTACAGGGAAATACTGTGTCATTGGCTGGTACCTTGGTGCCGGGCGGGCAAGGCACAAGAGGCAGTCGGTCGCACCTCAACCTTTGCCGTGCAAGAATCTTTTTTGTGTTCAGTTATCCTTCCCCTGCACCTCCGATTAGCACGATTGGCAATGTACAGTGCAAAATAAGTTTGCACTGTACATTGCCAACCGTTCTACATACATCTCACAACGCGCTAACCATTGCACTCCCGCTCCTCACTCGCGGACAAAGACACACCCTCTTTGGAACATCATCGGTAAGAACAGTATTCAGTATTTTTTTATTGTCTCGGAATGTTTTTGTATTGGGTGTTTACAGTTTATTTCAATTATGTTAATTTATTTGACATTCAGTACTTATTTCAATTGTGATGTGTCATTTTTTTGTTTTCCGTGTACCTCACCCTATTATTTAGGTTAAGTTTAAGTATTGAATATCGCGGTTTTGACTTTTGCGGCACTTTCCAATAATGTAATCCCCGTTCTTTTCAAGGTTCGCCTGTACTGTAGATTGTTTGCTGGGACTCGTATATGGTATGTGCTGCTGCCATCTAGTGGCAAAATTTGGAGATAAAAAAATCGCACAATGGCCAGGGGTCATGCCCCATGCATTGATTTTTTTTCAAACCAGAAATCAAACTGATAGTTTACAGAATGAATTACAAAAAGTGACTGGCTGCAATGACACAGTAGAAAATGCATGTCTCTGGAAGGGTGAAAGCTGCATTAGTACTCGTAGAGGTTTTTGGGTTGGATCACGTAAATATATAAATGTTTCGTTAAACTTCTTTGGTTCTTTCGGTAAAGTCACGTAGAATGATAATAAAATAATAAATTGATAAAATAAAATAACACAATAATATTCTCACGACGTTTCGGCCACAACACAAGCGGCCTTCATCAGGTGAAGGGGGGCGAGACTGTCTGGTAGGACAGCGCTGGAGTGAAAGAGCCACGTTCAGATACGGCCTTTAAGCTGTGTGAGAGGAACAAAGCGCCTTGACTAAGGAATTAGCATATAATTTAGCATTGAAATGGCTGAATGATTAGCTTGTGACTGGTCACAGAAATAGCTATGTTAAAAGTTAAAGCATACACACCCGCAGAGGCACCCATTGCTAAATTATATGCTAATTCCTTTGTCAAGGCGCTTTGTTCCTCTCACACAGCTTAAAGGCCGTATCTGAACGTGGCTCTTTCACTCCAGCGCTGTCCTACCAGACAGTCTTGCCCCCCTTCACCTGATGAAGGCTGCTTGTGTTGTGGCCGAAACGTCGTGAGAATATTATTGTGTTTTATTTTATCAATTTATTATTTTATTATCATTCTACGTGACTTTACCGAAAGAACCAAAGAAGATGAATCATTGCAGTCACGAAAGCTTTAAATCGAAATGTTTCGTTAAAACCCGCCACCACCCGACACGGCCAACCCGTAAGGGTTGTCAGGTAAACAGAACATGCCAATTCGTCACTAGTACAGCACACTGGTGTGTTGAAGAGCCAAGCCACAACATTTACAATCTGAGTACGACGTTTCGCCAGTAATTACAACTAGCTTCATCAGGCGACAGCCAGATTTGTGGAGAAGTCTTACTGTTTTGTTCCTTATATAGAGGCGTATATGTGACTGCGCTCTTACACAATGTGGGGGGGGGGGGATTACTGAAGCAACGTACATTATCCATGTGAATTATGCGAGCCCTTTGAACTTGTCCTTCCTGTCTATTGTTTATTAAAGTAGCCCTACCAACGGTAATCCCTATTGAAGTACGCTGCCCTTTGTAGGCATGCCTTTAAGTAATGTGTTTGATTATTCACTTCCACGCAGCACTAAGATGGTAACCGAATGGTTAATGTTATTTTGATTTCTTTCAATTTCGATAGATTATCTGATTAGTCTTGGTCAGTAGTAGCTATACTCTTTGGTTCTTTCGGTAAAGTGACGTAGGTGTAAAATAAATTAAATCACGTTTCGATTGCAACACAAGCAATCATCAGCTGTGGGCTCGCATGATATTGTTTTTTCTGAGACCAAGGTACTCTGCAAACCTTCGGGCTACTATCAAAGGTTTGTTCATAAAGCCATCCAGATATATAAACATAGACGTAACTTCAACCGAGAAGATTGATACAAATTGAGCAATCATTGGAAGGATGTTATTAACCAGGTGAAACCCTAACTACTTTGTAGTGGTTGTCTATCATATCTGCCGGGTACTACTTTATTTTTCTGAGTGAACGTCCCCTCCGCATCCTCAGTTCTCTCGGCCGCCCACTTCCCCCTCCCCAGCCTCGCGTCCCTCTCCTGGCGTCCACGCAGTGCTTACCCCTACCCCACACCTCCACCCCTCCCTCTCCCCCCTTGCTCCTCCCCCTTGCTTTCCTATAAAACCTCTTACCACGGCAACTCTCCCACTTCAGCAAAACATTTTCTTGCTGTGGTTTTCCCACCTGATGATGATTGATTGTATTGCAATCGAAACTTCGTGATTTATTTTATACCTACGTGACTTTACCAAAAGAACCAAAGAGTATGGATCCCTGCTGTCACGAAAACTTCAAATCTAACTTCAACATTATCAAAATAATTTGAGTGTCCTTTAACCAGCACTTCACTACATCTAGAATGGTATAAGGGAACATTTGATTCAAGTGGAAGTGAATGTATTGTGTGGTGTATTCACCGAGGACAGACCATGAGGCTGCTTATTGATCTCTTCCCTCCGCAGGTCGGCCAGATCAACGTTGATCCGAACGATACGAGAGCCAGTGGCAATTGTGGTGACACCGAGTCACTACTCAACCTCACGTTTTCTCATGGATTTGTGCTGGCTGTGTTCACCAAGGTGTGATGGCTCTTTATGATTATGAGCTTTGCCTTCCCCCCCCTCACCCGATCCTCAACACCACTTTTTTTGTACTTTTTTTCAGCTTCCATTTTTACTGCAGTTGGATGTAACTCGTTAAGTGGCACGTTTATCTAGTTTTTTTAAAATGTTAATGGGTTGGTGTGCACCGTGTATGCAGAGTTGGTACTGCTCGGCTCCTGAGACAAATTTGTATTTTTACAGCTTCAGTTGGAGACTGGTCGCAAATTTCTCCATATGCGGGTGCCCTTTGCAGGTTACCCTTCTGAGAATAGATATGCAGTATCACATGATTACATTTCGTAGATTGCAAACGAACTAATGTATTGAAACTTTAGGAATAGTATATACTGTGTGTCCATGTGATCCATGGGTTAGGTGCCTCCACATCCCAATAATTTTTCATTTGCCGATTTAAACTGAATGGTGTGGTTGCATGTGGCAAACAAGAGACTTCTCAGCTGCTGCAGCTTTCACTGTGACCGCATCCACCTGTTGTAGCTTTTAAAATTCTACAGGTTCCCTGGTTCTTGCTGTTATGCAAGTGAGAGCCATTCATTATCCATTTCCAGGGGAGGCATGGGAAGGTCCAATTTGGCCATAAATCACCTAAGCGGTGGTGAGAACCAATCTGGCTGGCCCATTGGTGAGTGCTGATAACTAGGTTCCCCAAACAACCCTCGCATCACTGATTGCCCGAGTAAGTATGTCTATGACACCTGGCGACATAAGCATTGCCACTGGCTGTATGAAGTTCACACTGTAAAAGTAAACCATGCAAACAGTAATATAATAAAAATGCCCTTTATTTAACCAGGGAAACATCACTTGCTATGAACGCTTCCAGGAGCGTCCTGACCTTGAAATGTTTGACCACTGCCATGAATTCGTGGCTTATAGGAGGAAGCTGGGGTACGCACTCAAAATCCACACACGATCCACTCGATTCAAGAATCCATAGCTGTACTACCATCCTGAACAATACACCAGGTGTGGCCACTTGCTTCCGAGTGTTTTGAGCTATTGGCCTGCTTGAGGCTCATCTGTAGTAATGAAGGTTACCCAGGGTCCCACTACCCTGTTGCTAGGTTCCCTTGACCTCGGAGGTAAACTTGAGCTTGACTTCTGCCTTACACCGGCCAGCTCATAAACAAAGAATGACATTGTGCGGTGCGACCCACGCTCGTGCTTCATGCCGCCTTGTGTGGTCATGGCCATATACAGCTGTACAATTAGTCGCAAAACTACACGACTGAGACCGCGATTCTCTTCCTACACTCAGTTTTTCTTAGATTATACAGTGCACCACAGGACATGGAATACATTTGCAAAATGTATACTCATTGAACTTGCTGTATGCTTGTTTCATCAGGACAAGAATGAGTTTTCTGTTACAGAAATCAATGCAACCCTTAAGTACCAATTTCCGGATACAAAAGTTGAAGGTGAGTAATGCCTCTGTTTTGGCCTCATCCAACGGTTGCTGTTTTATGTTTTTGCCTTGAGTCACTATTTTGTTTTTAACATCCCGGCTGTTTGTTTTGGTATAGAACATATGTGAGGTTGCATTGTCTACATCAGGGGTGTTGCGCATATGCCTGTCTGCATTATTTTAGTGTATCCTCAGTACAACCGTGGCCTGAAAATAATTATCCTAATCCCTAGGTCCACTGTAGAAGGCCGTGTAACTGCCCACCTTTGTAAGGAGCTCTGCAGTGGAGACTTAATCTGGCAGACATTGAGCAGAGTAGATGAAGTTTGACTGGGGGATTTGATGCCTTACCCAATGTTGTCCAAAATGTAAGTGTGAGGAACTCGTAATATCAAGTCATGCACTCTAGTGTTTTTTTATAAAGACAAGATCCAGTCCTTGTCACAATACGTTTTACACTATAAGACTAATATCTGATCAGTGATATTCGGTAAAGTATTCAATCTTGCTCCCTGTATATGGCTAAGCCTCCTTTCTGTAAACGATTAACAGGTATTGCCTGTCAACCCATGTCCTACAGAGTATTCGGTGTCGAGTGGCCCAGTGAGCTACACTCTGGCTCCGGCGAATACCTCCTACAGATGCATTGCCAAACTTCGGCTTCCTGTCACTGCCAACTTCTCTCTGGACTTGAGCCACGTGCAGCTGCAGCCGTTCAACCTTGAGAATGGAACCTTCTCGCCAGGTAACAAGTGCAGGCCATGTCCCGATCAGTCCTGTCTTTGTAATGCGTTTAAAGTGACTGAGAAGCGTTTCGGCTGCCGTGCTGTTTCCGTTCAACCCGTGCCCATCGTGGAGACTAGGTATGCACGCTTGTGTGTTTGTTGCCGAGTAAAATAAAGGAGCAAATGCGACCAAGTGATGGTCGGTGAAGCTGCAATAGATACAACTGTTATAATGAACACTTGGGCAAGAATAGCGTGGTGTGGAAACTGGTAAACAACTAAAGAGAACAAAGTTGTACAACATCATCAAACCTCATCTGTGTGATTTTGTGTAATGAGGCAATATACCAAGATATGTTTTAAGCTATATTTAAACAAACTTTTAGCTTTGTCTTCATGGCATTAGGGGATGTTTTTTTCCTTTAACAGCATCACATAGCAGCATTGTTTTAAGGTCCACGTCCTGCTGATGAGACTCGCAAAGGTTTAAACAAATGTTGGTGGAAAATTTAATCCAAACTTTGCAGTGGATGATGGATGTAATTTTATATAGTATGGTGATTGAAAGACACTTTTTAAATTCGAGATGACTAAGGTTATTTTTTTCCCTCTGTCTTACAGTGACCGACTGCACTCAGGACAAAACGACGCCGATCCCGACCACAACGCACTCCCCGACCACAACGCACTCCCCGAGCACCAGCAGCCCACCGTTCCTGCCAGGGAAATACAACGTGTCGGAAGAGGGCCATGCATGCTTGCTTGTGGACGTGGCTCTGGAGGTGCAGGTGGAGGACTCGCAGGTGAGGCAGCGGCAGTCACCACGTTTGCAATGCTCATTTGTGGTGCTTTTATATGACCATGGTTGCCCCATCTTCTCTGTCGGCCTTCGATCCATGGAGATCGCTTCTTTTCAAATGCAGTTATGCTGTCTGGATCTCACTCTCTGCTGTTGGTTCCCTCCCAAGGCAACATGAAAACTTCATACTCAGCTGTAGTATCAAGGCTATACTTTTTCCAGGACATGGTGAGTTATTATTTCTTGATCCCAAGACTTTCTCTTGCAGAACAAGACTCACATATTTGTGGTGCATCCGAGTCGGACGTCTGCATCTGGGCACTGTCAAAGCACTACTTCACTACTCAACCTGACCTTTGCCGAAGGCTTCATTGCCTTCACCTTCACGACAGTAAGCCTGTGTGTGCATGGGTGTAGCTAAAGAACGAATGCGCAGGGTACATTGCGCATGCATTCCTGTCGCTTGTGTGGCACAGTGCTTCAGACAGTCGTGCATGGAAAGAAAAATGACAATACCAGCCTTTGTTCATCCGACTAAAACACACGGCCATTCTTTTATTGCTTTCACATGAGACTTTTGTTTCATGAGTCTTGTTTCCACCAATTGTAAAATGAAAATGCTATCTAGTGACATTGCAATATTTACTCATGTACTGAACCTTTTGAATTGATAATGGTCATAACACAGGTCCATAACACTGCCTAGCAAAAAAAAATAATTTTGACATTCCAATCAGGACCCTCCAGAAAGGCTCTTGATAGTTGGAGGCTTTCTTATGCTTGGAACCATTAAAAATGGTGGTCTGTATTGTTTCAATGAGGATCTGGTAATGTTAACCTGACACAGTTCTAATGTTCCTTTGCACTGATAACTGTACAGGAAAATGAGCAATGGGTGATGGCAACAGGTGGGGAGATATGTAACCGGTTTGGTTTTTACAGAGCAACAAGAGATTTCACCTGGACCAAATCAGCATTGACCTGAAGCTTCATATTCCTGATGCCCCCAATGGTGAGACTTGTTCCAAGCTGGTCGTTCATACATGTGGCGATGCCAAAATTTCAAACGGCCGTATATAATCAATTGCCAATCTTCGTGGACTTAACTGTCCTTGTGTTGGCATTGTCATTTGAAATGCACCCAGATACATTTGTGGGCTCAAAGGGGAACCTGACCCTGTTCCCTGCAAACTTGGGAAGCTCCTACATGTGCAAGGCTAAGCAGAACGAGAGCATCGGTGACCAGATCCTGCTGATGGTCAGCGACCTGCGACTGCAACCATTCAAAGTGCAAAATGATGCCTTCAGCACAGGTGAGCGAGCCTGCTTCCTTGGTCGGAAACGGCATTACACTCACACTGGCACTATACTCAGTGGCACCACACACTGGCACTGCACTCAGTGACGCTGCACTACTGATGGCAACGGAAGAGGTGAGACTGAAGTTGGAATTTGGCTGAGAATGAGCCGAGCTTGGTCAGCCTGATGCGGCCATTACATTTTGTGGTTTGTGTCACATGAGGCAGTTGTGTTGTACGCTCCTCTCCATTATCGATCGAAACTCCATAAATCCGACCTTGGGGCACCTCAGTGGTGCAGTTGCCTTGACTAGCAGACGATTGCATCAGATCAAGAGCAACTTCCTGTTTGTGTGGCATAGTGGTGGTGTGGTTGACTGGTGTATGGTGGGTGAGGTGTGTGTCTGGTGATTGAGGGCTGACTTTGTGGTGAGTGGTGATTTTGCAATGTCGTGAGGAAATACACTTCTGTGCTTCCATAATACATTTTTTTAGATTTAATTGCGTAAATATTCACGTCGTTAACCTGCCAGCACCTTGACACAGCCAATTAGTGAGCTTTATCATGTAAACAGAACAATGCTGGACTGTAAATGTTGTGGATTTGCTCTTCAACACACTGGTGTGCTGTACTAGTAACGAATTGGCATGTTCACGTGACAAACCTTCCTAATTGGCTTTGTCGGGTGGTGGTCGATTTAATTACACATTTATATTTAAGTGATCTAACCCACAACCTGTATTATGGATGATATTGGTCACAAAAGCGTGATCCGTGTCAAACTGCATTTCCATGCCTGTTTGCACGTTGGAGGATTGAGGAGAGAACAGACTGCTGTGTGTGAGGTGAGTAAGCAATGTGTGGTGTGTGGGGAGGAGTAAATATGGCTCTGGCTGCACCTTGGCGAGGAGTGTAGTGGGTGAGTGATGCGCGAGTCGTGAGTGTGTGTGGGGAGTGAAATGAAGGGTGGGAGCTGTGTGAGGAGTAACCGTGGCCCTGGCTGTGTGCAGCGGAGGAGTGTACTCGGGACGTGGGCGGCGTGCTGATCCCCATCATAGTGGGCTCCGTGCTCGCCAGCCTCATCGTCGTAGTGCTCGTTGCCTACCTCATCGGCAGACGCAAGAACCACACCGGATACCAGTCCATCTAGAGGCACACATCGCTCCCCGCACTCCCTCTTCGCCCACCCAACCAAAGCCACGACTCCACTCGTCGGCTCCTCCTAAAGCACCAGAGAGAAGCACATTGCAAATTCCGTATCGAAGTGCAGGTAGCTTGTCTTCGTGTAGGGTGCAGTGCATGGCCACTCGCACAATGGGATGTTGACGTCGTGAGTCATTTTACACACATGAGATGAGCCCCTGCACTGGCACCATTAGTCTTTCCGTGATGAAATTATTTGGACCACAGCACACACGCTCGCTACAACTGGCACACGGTGTGCTTGATTAAGTGCCGTCAACGTGAGTCCAATAACACAACCCAACTACACAATCCAACGTCATTCGTAAGTGCATTTTGTGTTTTCAAAACTAACAGTGATATACAGAAAATGATGGAAACAATTAAGCTTTGCTTAAATTGTTTTCTTTTGAGCTGAATTAAAACAGTGATTGCCAATTGACATTGGTGGCATTAGAGTGCAATGCAACAACACGAGTGGTCAAGTATTCTGCCAAGTTGTCAAAATTAAATCTCAATACAAATCTCAATCCACACGTTGACTGGGCAGAGCTGTTTGCACAACTGCTCCTCTATGTGCATTTGTGGGCTGTGACCCTGTTAGAATACCTTGCTGGTACTTTCTGTGGCAATGATAAAGGCAAATTGTATATGTGCGTTTATCATATTTGCTTGCAATCCAGCCCAGTTAGGCATAATCTGTATATAAAAAAGCTTCTTGGCTCCAGCAAGCAGAAGTGGGGCGGCTGTAGACTGCACGGTGAGGCAGGGATGGTGTTTCCTGGATGGTTCACTTGAAAGGTTTTGTTTAAGCAAAGCCGCTAAATACACTGAATCGCCACTAAGCGTGTCAAAGGGTCGGACTACTTTTATAACACAAGCTTTTGGTTGATATGCACTGTCTCTTGCAACATTATGGAACACACTTTTCAAAAAATAACATTGCCGTGTACAAAATATAGTTAAATGCTGACTTGTACGTTCAATTCCCAGTTATAAGTTCTCAATTTGTGTCCATGGAGTGCCACCTGTGAAACTGGGCTATGCAGTCATTTATGTAGGGACATGATTCTTAGTGGCTTTATTAGCATGAGAGCCCATTGAGAGGATGAGGTAAGTAGTTGTGGTAGTGGTGTGGATTGTGGGGGATATTTATCACAATTGTTTCTGGGCATTGTCACAGGAGTGCTTTGTGAGGTTTATGATTGGAATTTTATGTTGGAACAATGCGAGTGTTCAGGCAAAAACTTATTTTTTGAGCCACAAAGGTTAGCAATGTGTTCAATGGTTACATCTGTCTTTGCCCTCTTGCAAGAGCAGTAAATGTATTATGACTCCGTTTTGTGAACCATCCATATTAACAATTACATGTAAGTCTTGCATTTGTCATTGTTAGAAGGTGTAAAGTCAATTTGATTCAGTCACTGAAGTCCCAACATTTTGCATCGTTTTAGTCTTGTGCAGATTAACGATGTGTTTTGCCCTATTGCCTCTAGGCTTTGGCACAATAGCATATCTATAGGCAATGCTATCCAATCATTCATCGCTGTGAACCTGGCTGAAATGCTATAAGGCCATGCAACGGCATATCAGTAACCAGGTTATGGTGCAATAATTGCATCAGAGTAAGAAATGTTTCCCATTCACTTCAGTTTTTTGCAAAGCTGGGTGATTTCTGCGCCTCCTGAAGGCTGCTTCTGGCCTGAAACTGAAGTCCAATAGCACAAGCACCTCTTTTGCACATGTTGGTCACAAATACTCATCTGTAGAGCAGTAATGGATAATCGTGTGAGCACAGTTTGCATTTGGGAAAATGGAATGTATTCAGGGTTGCTGCGTGGAAGTATTTCCAGTTATATTTTAATATACTTAGGTTTATTTGTTTCAGTTATATTCACATTTATATGTCAGTGTTAGTCTTCTCCATTATGGCACGGCTTCTGTTAATATTCAATGCTGCACTTTGACAAAGTTATTAATTTATTCCCAAGCCACCATGTAACATGACGTGTAAAAATTTGTGATGGGTGGGTTTACAATGCTTGGTTTTGCCAAGGTTAACATGGCTAGGTTTGTCTCGTTGAAAGAAGTCTTATTCCAGCAGTTGGCTTGAATATTAACCCAATCCTGATTTATGCACAAGGCCAGCATATATTTTTTCGATCACCTCTTCGTTAATTTTTCCTATATAACCCAATGAGAGGCTGAAAATGCATTTTGCTTACAGCTGATGCATGGAGGGAATTTTGGGTGCTGAAGGTCACCATGGTGCTTCTCCACTCGAGGCACACGTGATTGTATGCAAATTATCTTGTCATTCTGATTTTTGTCGGCGAGGTCTCAAGGATTGCAATGTAATTAACACTTTGCAATAAAATCTTTTTGGTGTGGTGACACGTTCCTTAAGGTGTGTGACCTGTGATTTTTGATTTGCACCACCCTGTCTTGCCACCTGGAAAATAAATTGCATCACCTTTGTTCTTTATAAGCATGTGATTCACGTCTCTGATTGGAAATGACCTACAGGAAATATTCAAGTTAAATTTATCTGGTTACAATCGTTTTGCTATTGCATTGAAATGAAATCGAATTCTGTGAATCTTGGAGAACACAACTAATTACACTATGTAACAAAACATTTTTGTTCCTGGGTAGTGTATTTCCTAATTACTTATGCCTCCAAAGGTACATAAAATGGCTATTCCCCACAAACTTTGCTTTGGTGACCAGGACAGTGATATTTTAAAATGTACATTTTCCAGAACATTCCAGATTCAGTGCTGAGTAAACGTGGAGTAACTTCCAGAACATTCTAGAACTTTCCAGTAATATAAATAGTATTCTTTGGGTCTTTCGGTAAAGTCGCGTAACTAGGTTCAAATTAATACAAATAAAATAAACATTAATTTGAGCCGATCTACGTGACTTTACCGAAAGACCCAAAGAATATGAATTCCTGCAGTCACGAAAGCTTTAATTCAAAATATAAATAGAAATACAGGTGTCTTAAGCCCACCAGTTTAGTTCCAGCTGCCTAAGTGGATACATATCTGTATTTTTCTGAGATGGCATCAAGAGGCTGCAAGCATCCGGCAGACGCATTTTGCGATGTCTGTGGCCAATTTATCAAGACGAGCAATAAAGTCCTCTGTGGAAGTATCTGCTAAGATGTGTGAAGCCTACAAGGCATATTTCGGCATGCCTGTCGGGGATCAAGACAAACCCTGGGCACCTCATTTCACCTGCGAGCAATGCAAAAACACTCTGGAAGGTAAGATGTACAATTGTTGCTCGGAATTTTATGTTATAAAATTTAACATTTTTTAAATTGTTAAAGTTTTTAATTTTAAAATGTTTTACAATTTTCAACGTTATTTAAAAATATATATGAAAGAAGGTTGCGACAATCTCTTGCACATTAGTCATCGGTGAAATGTATTTTTGTCGGATTGTACAGAGGTGAAAAGAGCCATAACGTTTGCTATTCCAAGAATTTGGTGGGAACCCACCGACCACTGAAGCAACTGCTACTTCTGCATGGTGGACCCTTCCAAACGTCGGACTCGCAAGAATGCACGTACTATCACGTATTTGGACTTTCCGTCATCCATCACCCCGGTGCCACTGCCTTGAGCTCCCCGTGCCCACTCCGGGGAGAGAGCAGTCTTTAGAAGAGAGCAGCAAGTCAGAGAGTGAGGAAGACGTAGATCAGATGACCATTTCAGAGTTGGAGCTGAGGAGAGAAAGCCATACTACCTCAACCAAAAAGACCTCAACGACGATCGGAGATCATGGTCTCACCAAGTCCAATGCCGAGTTTTTGACGTCTATCCTCAAGAGTGGAACTTGTTGGATGAAAGTGTGCAAGTCGCAGATCAGAGGAAGCGTCACCAACCTTTTTGCAGCTTCGTCACCCGTCAAGATGGGCTCTGCTTCTGTCACAATGTGACCAGTCTGTTCGAGGCAATCGGAATCGCCTGTAACCAGAATGAGTGGCGCCTCTTCATTGACAGCTCATCCAGGAGTCTCAAGGCCGTGCTGCTCCATAATGGCAACATGTACCCGTCTCTACCCCTGGCTCACTCAGTGCACCTCAAAGAAGATTACAACAGCATCAAGACCTTGCTGTGGACGCCTTGAAGCATGATGAGTACAGCTGGGAGGTCATTGGAGACTTAAAAATGATGGCATTCCTGATGGGTCTTCAAGGCGGTTTTACCAAGTTTCCCTGCTATATTTGCCTTTGGGACAGCAGGGGCACCAAGGCGCACTACCACAGGCGGGACTGGCCACAACAGACCGAGTTCTCTGTGGGGAGGAACAACGTCAAATGGGAGTCACTGGTGAACCCCCGGAAGGTGCTGATGCCACCACTGCACATCAATTTGGGCCTTATGAAACAATTTGTCAGTTTTGATTTGAAGCTTTTGTGACTGCAGGAATCCATACTCTTTGGTTCTTTCGGTAAAGTCACCTAGGTATAAATAAAATAAATTAAATCACGACGTTATGGGCGCAACACAAGCGTCCATCATGAGGTGGGAAAGCATGGTCTGCTGAGGCAGACTTTTAAAATGTTTGAAATGGGTATAGCTCAAGGGTTATAAAGAATTGGCCAGGGCTACTGATGTTAATGTGAGAAATTAGCATGTAACTGTAAGATAGGAGAGCGCCCTCCTCGACGAGGGAGTGCAACCCAACGGGTGTAATCCGAAGGGCATGTGAGCATGAGAGTGCAATCCAAATGCATGAGTGCAACGCAACGGACATGTGAGCATGAGTGATCTTAGAGAGAGACAGAGCCGGAAATAACAGCTGACATAGGTAGGATGGAAACATCACAGTCAGTTAAGACTTTACCTGGTTAATAACGTCCTTCCAATGATTGCTCCGTTTGTACCCAACCTCTCGGTTGAAGTTGTCTGTGTTTATATATCTGGATGGCTTTATGAACAAATCGCTGAAGGTAGCCGGTAGGTTTGCAGAGTACCTCCGTCTTGGAAAAAATAATTTCGTGTGAGCCCACAGCGTTAAAACAATGATCGGCAACGGCAGAGGTATTGGTGTTTCAGATCTGCCTTGTGTTCATGGACGTGGTCCAACACGTCGTTTCGTTTCCCCAATGCAACTGCTGCCGCAACCACGGCTCAGTTTGTAGACACCAGGGTATTGCATGTCAGGAATCACATCTTTTACAGATGGGATTAAATAACGGTTTTTGTGTACTGTATTGAAACGAACCTGGATCTTGTGTTTAAGATTTTGGAAATCTTTTTGGTAACCACTGCTATGTACGGTAAAGTGATGGTTTTGGTTGGATCCTCAGAAGGCTGTCTCCGCATGGCTGGGGAGACAGCTTTGCGGATTGTACGGTCCGAGTATCCGTTCATCCTGATTTGTCAGAGCTGTAGATAAGGAGTCGGCAGCCTTCAAGTACCTTCAAGACTTCTTCCCTAAGCTGGCTGAGGCAAAGGTCAAAGCCGGTGTCTTCGTCAGACCACAGATGAAGAAGATCCTGGAGTGCAATGAATTCCCCAATAAGCTCACTAGTAAGAAAAAAGCGGCTTGGAACAGCTTTGTCGCAGTGGTTCGTGGCTTCATGGGCAATCACAAGGTTGAAAACTGTGGAGCTGGTTGAGACTGAAGAACTACGGCATAAAGGGTTGTAGGATGTCCTTCAAAGTACATATCCTTGATGCTCATCTTGATAAATTGAAGGAGAACATGGAAGCGTACTCGTAGGAGCAAGGCGAGCACTTCCACCAGGATATACTGGACTTTGAGTGCTGCTACCAAGCCGTATAACGAGAACATGATGGGAGACTACATTTGGGGGCTGATTCGTGAAAGTGATTTACAGTATAATCGTAAATCTCGAAAAACTACTCGCTTTCTAAATCTTTTGTAGTCATTTTTGTATTACTCTCGTATAAATACTTGTTAATTTTGATTCATATGTTGTTTTCTGACTTTAAGTGAACGAAAACACACATTCGCCCATGTTATTGAAAATGTCAATTTCAAAATATCACTGTCCTAGTCACAAAAGCAAAGTTTGTGGGGAATAATAGCCATTTTCTATACTTTTTAGGCATAAGAAATTAGGAAATAACACTTCCTACCCAGGAACAAAAATTGTGTTACATAGTGTTATTTGAGCGTGTTTCAAATAACTGCAGATTCCTCTCACTCGTGGTTGTTCACATGTAACTGGGATTCGGGTTTGCCTTTTACTGCAAGTGCTGCTTGATTCAAAACGTCCAAGCTTGGTCTCAAGACTTAAAATGGGGGCCTGGATGGAATGTTTGGATAATTCCATTTCCCGATTCAGGAGTGGTTTGTTGAGGTAACCAGCGCACCTGGAGCCACTCGCTCCCTCCTCCCCTGCCACTCACAAATAATAGGGGTTGTATTCAAAGGTCTACAACCAGGTTCATAAGCCCACTTTCCTGTACTGCCACCAGGTTTGAAATTTCGCAGTTAATGACCTCGTATGTGATCCCAACCGCCGCCGTGCTGCCAAATAAGCTGTATTTGACGTGCCCATGAAACGTGTCTTCCTTTGTTATCCTGTGCCACTGACCCCTGACGTGAGTAGCTGAGGAATGTCAGGTGGATGACAAGTTCCTGGTTCCAATCATCGTTGGGGCAGTGCTGGCCGTCTTTGTCGTCGGCGTTGTCATCGCGTACTTCATCGGCAGACAGCGGAGCAGGGCTGTGGAATACCAGCAATTCTGAAGGACACCAACAACACAGCACATGCCAATCGTAACACATGATTAACACCGTAACGTTTTCAGTCCTTAAAAAATCAACATAAATGCCATGTATCTCTATCGCTACCATGACTTTCACTACCTTGTGGCTGTGTGCAACACCTCGCTTCCCCTTTCTCACAACACGCGGGATTTGTCAGCCAGAATCCCAATCGGTTGGAATTTTAAGGATTATGTTTAAAAGAAACGCTAGGGATCTGTTGGGGTCCTATGCCACTGTGGTCTGGGTTCTGGTTGTTGTAACAGCAGGCAACTTGCTATTTATTTGCTGCTCAGCAGTTTTTTGGCCTCAATGACGATACAAGTATTTTCATCTCCAAAGTTCATTCTGATCCATCTTGTAAATTGCACGTTCCTATGGCTAAGTGCAAGAAATGATGCTGTCAAATCCAGAAACCCTAGCACCTACTGTTGATTCCATTGAGACTACAAATTGTATAATTTTCCGCAAAAAAGTGATCACAAATATTGTTCATACTTAGTAAATTAACGAATACGGAAATGGCCTTGGGGGCCGTCCATAAATGACGTCACGCACCTGGGGGTGGGGGTCAGACATTTGTGACGATGTGCAACGAGGGGGGGGGGGGGGGGGAGAAATGTGACGTCACATCAAAATGCGCACCTTTA